TGCGTGTGTGTGTGTGTGTGTGCATTCGACTTGTTAAACAAACGTTAATATAATTTGAGGCGTTCTGAATTCAAGTAGAGGCGCTATAAAGATGAAAAACACAGAGAAAAGTAAAAATAACAGAATTTCTTTCTTCTTTTTCTCCATACCTCATTCTCTGGTGAAGCTTTATTAAAAGTCAAAGATATTCGACTGATAAACGTTTTCTATTTGTGCTTTATCTCATCATCCTATCGGATTCTAAATCATATATAATCTGCATTTGATCTCAAATCATATATATATATATATATATATATATATATATATATATATATATATGTGTGTGTGTGTGTGTGTGTGTGTGTGTGTGTGTGTGTTTTGTGTGTGTGTGCCTAGGGAATCGATTTATTTTAATACAAGCGTTTTGTAGTGGATACTCCATATTTGAAAAAGACGCCCTATTTCTATTTATTCAACAATGTATATTGTATCGATCGCGCTACGCATTCAAGAAAATCACACAGAAAACTCTCAAAATAAGTACCGTTCATACAGAAAATAACCAAAAAAACAAAAGAATTCTAATATCGCCAAACGAGTGAGTAATGAATTTCTCGATATATCGACAGATTTTTGCAGAGTTAATCAGTTGATTGATTTCTGATGCACATTCTAGACATTGTTGCTTTTATAGATCAATTAATGGTTAATAAGGATCGATATATCGATAAAAAGATTGTTAGGACGACTAATTAGACACTGCTTTAATAAAATACGCATATATTTAGTTAGATTAAGACAGAAATGGTGAGGTGCTTTGGATAGGGTGAGTGACAGGTTGGGAGTGAAATAAGACATTTCAGAAATGTTCTTATTAAATAATAGGATAGATAGATAGATAGATAGATAGATAGATATGAAGAGAGGTAGATATGAACAGACAGAGATATATACATAATGAACAGCCTAATGCAGATATATAGATAGATAGATAAACACAGAGATATATGAATAGATAAGAACAGACATAGATAGTGATGAATATAGATATAAAGAGAGATAGATATAAAGAGAGATAGATATGAACAGACATAGATAGATAGATAGATAGATAGATAGATAGATAAGCACAGATATCGATGTAGTTAGATAGGTAGATGTGAATATACATAGATATAGACAGACATAGATATGAAATGACATATATAGATAGTACCTGACATAGAATGGATAGACATATAGAGATGAATAGAATGATAGATACATAGAGACATATGAGCAGATACACATAGATATAAATAGATATCAATATACATATATTGTAGGAATTGCTGTCGATGCATGACTGACATATCTTGTGTCTGTGTGTACATTTAACTATGCGTATGTATGTGTATACATGTGCATATATTTATCGGTGTGTGTTTGTATTGTAATACTTGCATAAACATACTTAGTCTGGTATCTTATGTGGCACATGGTGCGAATCAGATGCTTTTAGCTTCATCTGGCACAAGACCAGAACCGTTGAGCTCTCAACGAAGAGGCATTTCCCAACTGAAGCCATTGGTCAGGAATCAAACTCCTTCCATTTGATTCGAGAACATCCGCTCAATGAAATTAGACGTTTGGCTACTCAGAAATTGGCGGGATTTGAAAAGCCTGCTTCATCTGATGTAAGACATCTTGAAATTCGCTGTGATCAAACTAACGATTACTAACGGAACTATTAATAAAGAACTTGATGTAGTTTCTTAATTAATTTTCATGTTTAATTTCCCATAAGTTTTCGATAAGTTCATTAGCTTGAGGCGATTCACTTCCTAACATCAATTGGGTTAACTATAAAATCGCAATTAGCATGGTGCCAGAACATGTTCAGTTCTCTTGGTACATTTAGGGCCTGATACACTCCTCTTTAAATACATTGGATAGGTTACAGCCTGGTGGTAATTTTCTTTTATATTGTTTAGTAATTTATCTAGCGTTTATAATTCATCTTTGAATAATCCGATACACCTTCGGATTTCGGTGTCATATTTACCGTCTTTTATTTTTGTGATTGTGCAATCTGAGTACCATAGAAAAACCTCTCTGCCTTCTATCCGTATGGCTGATGATCAACTCCACGAGAGCATCTCTCTGTGCCTTCTTGGTCTAAGGTCTTCCACTGACCTTAGGTTGAACAACTACAATGAATCTATAGCTACATCTACCATAAGGTTTTTTTTTTTTCGTGTGAGTCCATCCTTAAAATCTACAAATCCACCATTCGTCCATGCATTGAATACTATTGCCATATATGGTCAGGTGCCTCTGCTGTTAATCTCGAGGTCCTCGACACAATCCAAAGACGGATATGCAATGTAATAGGTACAGATATGACATCTCGAATCTAGTCAGTTTCTCACACAGACGTGATGTGGCTTCCCTCTGTCTTTTCTACAAATATTTTCATGACAACTGATCTGACGAGCTATATTCACTGGTGCCCCAACTGCATGAATTTAAGCGTGCTACTAGGTTGGCATCTAAGTCCCACTTTTTCATTGTCAAAATAGTTAAATGTAACCTCCTCTTATATTCCAAAAGCTTCTTCTCTCACACTTCCTGTTTGTGGAACTCCGTTCCTCTTCCTTGCTTCCCTGATAGATATAATCTTCAAATATTCAAATGTAATGTCAATCGACATATTCTGCTGCTTTGATCTTGATCCCCGTCCTTCTCTGTATCCTTTAATCAAACAAACCTTTTTATTCTTACTCTCATTGTCTCTAATCCCTTGCATGTTAGGGGCATTCCCGCCTTCCTTAAAAAAACATACCTACATTTTCTTTAATCTGAAACTGTGTATGCCTGCTGGCTAAGATGATCTTCGTGTCACATGTGATATCAGCTATAGTCATTGATATGATTTCTGTTATTTCATTAACCACAAAGTCGCTACTAGAATGGTTCCCAAAAAAAATTTTATTGGATCTTTTCTTTTACGGATTCAAACTCTCTGTTTTCTTTTAATGCAATTGAAGGATTACAGTCTTGTGATACAGTTTTTTACCGCGTTATGTACAGTAATGTGTGTGTTTTGGAAGTAATGTTAATTGTAATACAGCCATTTCCTTATAAGGAAACATTAGATATTACTTAATCGACTAGATAGTATTACTGTTGACTGAAAGTTTAAGGATGTTTATCTTAAAACAGTTTGACGGAAAAATAGATTTGTCGAGCCCAGTAGCTGTTATCACTCTTTCCAGTATTGATGGGACGTTTCCTTCCTAACCTTTTATTTGAAGTAGTGTGGAATGTCACACATCTTGATTATGTCATTATTTTCACTTCCCAAGCCCAGTAGCTGTTATCACTCTTTCAAGTATTGATGGGAGTTTCCTTCCTAACCTTTTATTTGAAGTAGTGTGGAATATCAACATCTTGATTATGTCATTATTTTCTCTTCTCAAGTCCAGTAGCTGTTATCACTCTTTCCAGTATTGATGGGAG